GATTACTACAAGATGGAACACGCCAGGAATTAACATGTAGAATTTCATGACATGGTCCTATTTGGCAAGCATAGGACTAAAAGTAGTGTCCTTATTATATGCATTGTATCCTGTACATTGGACATTTCTCCTTTGGATCATTGAGTTGAAGTATCTACACACTTTCTATTTCCTTTTTAAAAAGTAGCCCTTTCAAAACAAGTATTCCTGCAGTGATAGTCATAGCCACTCTTCTTTAAGTGTTACCTTCAAAGTGTGTGCAGTTTAAAAATGCAAATAGTGAAATGAAACACACATTAAGTTTTGTTTCCAGAACTGACTTCTTGAGAGTTAATGCAGTTTTGTTTTAAAAATAATCATCTCAAAATCTTTGGAGAAATCACAAGAAAATGGCAGTTGAGATAGCAGCATTTTTACATTATTTGCCTCAGTAAATGAAAGTCTAAGCTGAATAATTTCTAATCTGCATTAGCATGCTTGCCCCCCTCTCTATTTTGTATTGCATTCACACAGACCCTATTATCTGATCGTACAGAGATCTTGTTTAGAGTACACAAAACTTCCCTGGAGGGTTTTCCATTTAAAGCAAGAAAGCAGATTAACAGTACTCTGGTGCAATGCTCTAGAAAGATATAAGCCTACAATTGATTTTCATTGTGGGAGATGTATAGCATTCATCTGCTCACCAGCCTCAGTTCAGACTCGGCAGCAAGGCTAAGCCAAGAACTGGGAGCTGGCTTCTGAGAACATCAGGGAAACAACAGCCTTTGCTCGACTGTCTATTTTTTGCCCGGTTTTAACACTGAAGGGCTTAGAGAGAGAAATGACAACATTTTCAACATGAAGCTTATTCAATGTTTCTGTGTTGCTACAATTAAGCATTTCAGAAGCATATGTGCTGCCTTTCAGTTCAAACCCAGTCGTCCGCTCTGACAGGTCACAGACAAAAACCAGGATAATGACATTCTATCTTGATCACAGGATCCAGACAGACCAGTCTGCTGTAGATCAAAAAAGAAAACAACAACCCAAGTGCTGATTTAATTTCCTTCTCCTCAAATATTGAGTTCATATTGAAATTGAGCATACCAAGTGTGAATCTTGCTAAGAATAGCACCTTTGAGTGGTATATGAAATCTGTAAGTTTCTCCAGGTAATTGCAAAGTCCAAATATAGTATGACCTATGTTCATTTCTTTTTCTACAAGTTCAGATCCTAGCTTGGACATTATCCTGTCTATCGAAAGTGAAAAGAACAATTGAGGAAATGATCTAGGTGATTGATATGGTTATATGACTTGGCTCTGTGTCCGCACCCAAATCTCACCTTCAATTGTAATAACCCCCACATGGCAAGGCTGGGACCAGGTGGAGGTACTTGGATCATGGGGGGTGCCTTCCCCCGTGCTGTTCTTGTGTTAATGAGTGAGTCTCACGAGATCTGAGGCTTTTGCAAGCGTCTGGCATTTTCCCTGCTTGCACTCATTCTCTCTCCTGCCACCCTGTGAAGAGGTGCCTTCTGCCATGAGGCCTCCCTAGCCATGCAGAACTGTGAGTCAATTAAAACTCTTTTCTTTATAAATTACCCAGTCTTGGATATTTCTTCATAGCAGCATGAGAACAGATTGATATAATAATTTAAAAATTTAAGAAAAAAAATGATACTTTCAAGTATCAGGAAAATTGGGGGAGAATAATGTAAATTATTTTGAGTAGCACACATGCTCATCTTATTTGAACGTATTCTTCATTCTTCCTTGTCTTGCAGTGCTGTTACCATTTGAGGTTCTCAATGAGCCAGTTTGCATAGTTCCATTCAAGATACTCAAGATTTAATGAGCCCAAGTAACTTTCCCTTGAGTCATGGGTTGAAAAAATATTATGCTTTTCTCAAGCACAGAGTTTTAATTTATTCCCATTGCTTGGATTTGGCCTCATTCAGTAACTCTCCTGAAGATACAGAAGCTCAGATGCGTCCTTCAATTTCTATCTAACTCGTCTAGCCTGAACCCCAGTCTATTATCTCAAATAGCGCTGTGCAAAGTGACAACCTTGAAGTAGTCTGTGGTAGGCTGATGTGGTAGGCTGACATCCAAAGACGTCCACATCCTAAATCCCAGAACTGTGAATACGTTAACTTACGTGGGAAAAGGAACTTTGCATCCGTGATTCAGTTAAGAATCTTGAGGTGATTATTTTGCACAATTCAGGTGGGTCCAATGCAATCCCAGGGTGCTTTTAAAAGGCAGGTGAGAGTCAGAATCAGCGAACAAGACATAATAATGAAAGCAGAGGCCAGAGTAATCTGGGCATGTGCATCCAGGAATCAGCAGCTGGGAAAGGTAGTGAAACAGATTCTCCCCTACAGCCTCTGGAAGAACCACAGCTCTACTGAACCATTTTAGGCCTCTGACCTCCACAGCTGTAAAAAGATTAATCTGTGTTGTTTTAAGGCGCCAAATAGGGGGTGATTTATTACAACAGCAATAGGAAACTAATACACTCTACTTCTCCATTTTAGCCCTATACTTTCTATATAAGCCTAATAAGTAGTCCTCCCTTGCTGTCTTTCCCTTAATTCTTCAGAGCTGAGCTCTTAAATAGGGTTTGAGTGGCAATCAACTTTCTAAAATTATATTTACAATTTTGTGTCGCATGCATTTTTCTGGGAAAGGAGTCCATAGATTTCATCAGACTGGCAAAGTGATCCGTGATCTTAAAATTGAAAATGTTAGTCTTGATTGGACATTCGTAACTTTACATCTTTATCCCCAGCAGGCTGTGAGTGGCATAAAAGAAAAAATGTGAGAAAGTGAATGTTTCAAATATTTTTATTCCTTCATTACTGATCCTTCCTTCACTCCTAAAAATAAGGCTGCACAGGGCTTAGCTCTAACCTGGTGCTCCTGCCTGTCCTTTAGGTACTGCTCTTCGTTGTTTTTTTTTTTTTTTTTTTGACATGGCATCTTGCTCTTATTGCCCAGGCAGGAGTGTAATGGTGCCATCTCCACTCACTGCAACCTCCACCTCCCAGGTTCAAGCAATTCTCTGCCTCGGCCTCCTGAGTAGCTGGGATTACAGGCATGCACCCCCACACCTGGTAATTTTGTAGTTTTAGTAGAGATGGGATTTCTCTATATTGGTCAAGCTGGTCTCGAACTCCTGACCTCAGGTGATCCACCCGCCTCGGCCTCCCAAAGTGCTGGGATTATAGGTGTGAGCCACCCTGCCTGGCTTCTCTTGACTTTTATACATGCAAAAATCTATTCCTCACGTGGGGTTGTAGTTACCAGGGACTTCACTGATTATGAGGTTGGGTAATTCCACTGCATCTATCACTGCTATGCTAGGCATGGTGGCATTGGTGATGGTGGTGGAGTGGGCAGAGGTGTCAGCACGAACCTAGCATCCCTCTCTCTTCGCTCGAGCCTGTGTTTGTGTCCTGGCCATTATATGGAGTCTAAGTGCATCTCTGTGATGTATAGACTTTTTCCATGCCTATAAAGATGTGGGCAGAAGAAAAGATTTCTTCAGTCCTCAAATGATGCATAACTAGAATCCTCTTATAGTTAAAGGAGAAGAAAAAAGACAGACCAAAATAAAGACAAGCTATCATTTGAAGTGGATTCTATTTGCTGTCAGTGTAAAGCAAAGCAGAGACTAAGAGTCTGCTCTTCATTGTGTAACAGCTAGGACTTTGGCTATGATAAGTGCAACTCTATTTTAGTGTGATTCTTTGGTGCCTACAAATACAATAAAGGCTCTACTCACTTCACAGCTGCTATACCTTTAAATGGTGACATGTGAAAAATTTGCTGTCTTGTTTGTGTCAGAGAGCCATTTCCCTCTAAAATACTTATTGTTATTCCACATTTAATAAGTGCCCACTGAGTGCTGGGCAGTGTCCAAGACGCAGCCACAGTCCCCACCCACACACATGCATGTGCCAAAGCAAGTTGGCAGTCGGTGCTGTGATGTGCTCCTCTGACCATTGTGGATGGCTTTCTTCTGATACAAGGAGTGTCAACAGCAACCCAGCTGTAGATTTCTTCCAAGAAAGCTGTAAAAGAAACTGAATGTATTTTGTTTGCTTAGTGAATTATGAAAGAAATCATAACAATGACTTGACAATACATATAAAGACATTACAGTTGCCAAGTACTTTCACAGCAGTTCTGTGTCATTGACTCTTACAGGTTTTTTTAAGGTATTCAAGGCAGATATTACTATCTCCCTTATCCTCCAAGAGGTGAAGGGACTTTTCCAAGAAGAAAAAGTAAATGGCAGAGCCAAAAAGAGAACCCCACTATTCTGACATTTTCTCCTACCCCCTTCCCCTCAAGATATCACAGTGTCTCTTATTAGCTAAGAAGCTTCCAAGTAGAAATTGTGAAATCTTGTGTTTTTCTTTTATATGGATAACAGATCCTAGGGAATAGCCCTTTAAATTATCTTTTCCATCTATAAGTTTACAAAATCTTTATGTATAGATCAGTCACTATTTACCAAAGTTTTGGAATACATAAGCCAACTTGGTAAAAGCTTAGTTAAATAGAATTAAAGTGCTTTGGGGCTGTGAGTATCTGGAAAAAAAATGGCACCATTTTCTAAAATAGAGTTTTGCCATTAGGTATTAATTTGATTTAAATATTTAGAATCACCTTTAATTATACACAGAGAGAGAGGGAGAAAAGAGAGAGAGAGTGTGAGTGTGTGTGTGTGTGTATGTGTGTGTGTGTATAATCACCAAGTTCCCTAGAGTTCCACAGAACATGAATAAACATATGGACTGTTCTCTTACACCTACTCCACCAGTCTGAGTATTGAGGATTTATATAGTTAGAGACTATGTGGTGTAAATATGTATAAATTTATATTGTGTTAATTTATGGCATGTGGTACAGAAGGCTGTTTGCAAGTTGCAGTGTACTTCTTCCCACATTTATGCTGAAATATTCATTTCTGGGTTCCTTCCCCATGTTTTCCTTTGTCTCCCCACAGATGTTGAGGCAGCTTGTTTTCACGGGAGCGAGTACATCTTGGAAGTATGCTTGCAGAATGCAATTCAGGTAAAGAATGTACTATCTTGATTGGAATTTGGCTGAAGGATATTCCCCTTTGCCTTATGTCCTGTCCACTTCCATTATGAAGACAGTTGCTCCAGGGCAGCCATACTCTGGGGGGGGCTACCATTTCCTGGCCTGAGTGTCCTCAAGGTTCATAGAGTGGTTCTAAGTAGATGAGTGACATTTCATTATCTGTAAAAGGAGAAAAACAAAACCCTGCGCGTCAAAATTGCTTCATGGCTGTTTGCCAAAGAAGGTGAATGTTTACGAGAGGGGCTCTGAGAGGGTCCACCTCTAGTTATTTGTGGCTCTGTTGAAGGAGAAAGAGCAGTCATAGATAAATGAAGTTCACAGAGTGCTTACAAACCACCATTTATTTAACCTGCCCTTTCACCAGTGGAAATTGTTAAAAAGTACTCATATTGACTTATTTGACTTGATCAATGTCTTCTTTCCTGGTCCTCCCCCGGGGGAGGTGTGCTAATGGGTAATGGAGATTGAGAAGTGGCAGTGGGTGGGAAGAGGAAGGAAAATGGAGCCCCAAACTGAGTCGACAGCCCCTGAATGAATAAAAATCTGGCAGCGGGTGGAAAGAGGTTTGACTCATCCATGAATGCTCTAGCACAAGTCTACTGCTTTGACAGACACTATCTCTTTCTCCAAATTTAGGGGAAATTGGTGAGGAAAGTATTTTTAGATTGTTTACTTCTCCTCTGCCCTTGCAGTGCTGTTGGTTATGAAATTTGAGGACAGACCTATTGAGAGACTAATGGCATCATCTGCCATAGAGATTATACAAGGATTTGTGGATCGAAAGAATTGCTCTGCAGGTTTCTTTCAAGCACTACGAATTCACCAGCCCTTCCAATGACTTAACAATTGAAAACTAACATTTGTACAGTCCTTTAATATTTTAACACTTAAAATATATCTATACTTTGCCACATCAACTCTTCCCATCTGTCTGGTAAAGTTCAACTTTTCAGCAGAGAAAGAAAGGAAATTATAAGTCAGTATCCTAAGGTCACATGCTTTGAGAATGTCATAGGTGTAATTCAAACCCTAATCATTTTTCCACCATAAAGGTACTGAGTGGTTGCACTTGACCATTGTGAGTTGGGTGAAAAAAATCGACGTCTAATAGTTACTGAAATCTAAGTTTCACCAACTTATCTGGTACTCCTGCGTTTTTCTCCATTGTCTTGCACTTCTCTGGACTTTATTATTCAACTTTGGCCACGCCCAGTGAAAATGCAGGTACACAAGTTCAGCTGGGAAAGAAGTTTCACATCAGGGAGTCATAAAAAAATGACAAAAACGTGTTTGGGTGGATTTGGGTCCAAGAGTTGTTTAAATGCCAGAGTAGAGTTTGAAATTTCAGTAGTGAAAAGCCATAGGAAAATTAGAGAAATAATGAACACCTTGTAAGAATTTATAATTTACAAAACTCTTCGCCTACAGTTTTTCAGTGAGTCCTCCCAACCATCTTTTAAGGAAGATATAATATTATTATCCTCATGTTACTTTTCAGGAAGTTGAGGCTTGGAGAAGGTGTGATTTTTACTAGATTGGGTAGCAAGTCAACGGTAAAACTCAATCTGTAAGCCAAGTAGTAAGCAGTGCTTTCAGAGGTTTGATCAGCGAATGGCTTGCAGAATGTAGAATGTATTCAAAGGAGGGGAAACATTTAGAAGCTATTGCAGAAACCCATGCTGTGGAATTTTTTAAGTTAGAAATCTGAATGCAAACATCAACTCTCAGGGCCGTGATGCGGATTGTTGCTATTCTCAGCGTGATGAAGCAAAGCAATGGTCTCTGGATCTAAAAACAGGTTACACGCAGGCATGTGTCTTTCTTTTCATCTGACAGATAGATGAGTAATTGATTTCATTTACCAAACAGGCTGAGCACAACGTAAAATCATGCTACTCATCTAAACTGAAAAAAAATTCTCTATTTTCCAGAATAGTCTCAGAGCACCATGTGTGAGAGAACACGACAGAATAGAAACTGATTATGCAAAATGTGCGAGAGAGAACTGCAGCTCTTGGTGACATGTGGCAGCCTCATTGGGAAGGGAGCGCCGTGTAACTCTGGGTGCTGTCTCTGATGGCCACGTGTCACAAGCTGAATGGCAAAAGCGGGTTTAAAAACTGAGTTTGTGAGTTGTTGCATGTAGATCTCTGAGACATTCATGTGCCATGCACACATGCAGGGAGATACCCTGAGAGGCCACTCTCAGCAGCAACACTCAGTCACACAGAGGTAGGAGGGAAATGCCAGGATTTTAGTTTGTCTGATGCTTTGTCACAGAGTCCTTACTCCGGGCTGTGTAGATCCCTCTAAATATATGACTATTCTATGAGAACCCCTTCCACCCAATGCAAAGATAGCAAAAGCTCTTAGGAGGATGGAAATGGTTACATGGTTAGATAGAGGGGCAGCAGGAACATGAGGAGCAGAGAAGCTCTTTAGTACGCTAAGAATTCCAGACACAGCAGAGAATCAAAATGGTGTTTGAAAGATGATAAGTGTAGCAAACCTTTTGTGCTCAGGAGCTATCCAGAGTACTGGGCTGCTTCTGCCTCTGGTTTGGCTGAACTAAGGTCAGAGTCTTCTTCATACCTGACATCAAGTCTCTGCCTTGGGCTTGGCTTCAGCTCTAATTCATATCAGCTTCTTTCCCTCTTCTGTGTTCTACTGGACTTCACTGATCTCAGAACCAACCATTTGCAAGCCTTGGGAAAGCCTGGTTTTGATAACCAGCTGCACCCAATGCCACCTTTACTGTGGTTTTAATAAGAGATAGCTTGTTTCCCTGAATGTTTTCCAGCCATAGTGAACACACACACACATGCGTGCGTGCACGCTCACACACACTCACACACACACATACATCATTAGACTTTGCAGACATGAGGCTTATATTTTTAGATAGATTTTGCATAACCACATTTGAATTTATGTACAATATGTCAGACCTTGCTTTACAGTGACCTGATTAAAAAAAAGTTTTATCTACAGATTTCTCTAATTTAAACACGTGTGCATATATACAGAAGCTTGTACCAATCAGTATACAAAAACAATGTCATCAGGGAGGGGTTGAGGTAATGTAGAAAGAACTCAGTGCATTGATGTCTAATGCCTATTCTGGCTATGGGGAAATGTACAATGAGAAAATGATGTCAGTTCTAGAACAGGCTGGTGACTTGAGCATAAGCATCTGATTCCCTGCATCTTAATCTTGATGTAAATGAGCAATTAAATGTCTAAAGAGAGTGTCTCAGATTGGAGAGACTCCCACTGGCCAGATCTGGGAAATTCTGAACTAAAATAATTAAGTACAGTAATGAATTTTAAACGATTGGAAAAAAATAGAAAAAAAAATGCATCCATGCTGATAATAAATAGATAAATAAATAATTCAGGGAGAAGAGAGGGCTCTTGTTTATAGTTGAGTGCTAGAGACCAACTGGTAAAAATTGTAAAATCATCATTTTGCAAGCATCATGGTAAAGACTGAAATAGGCGAGAAATGTGGCTGAATATTAAATCTCATAGGAGATTTACAAGAGCAGGATATTTACACACCTTAAAGTGTGTATGTGTGTGAGACGGACACAGAGAGAGACAGAGAGATGGAGAGAGAGGAAAAGAGAGAGGGAGGGAGGAAGGAAGGAAAAAAAGAAGGAAGGAAGAAGGAGAGAAGGAGAAGCTTTTTGAAATGCAGACATTTTTCGCTGAAATGTTGACTGGCGGCGATGGAAACTAGATGGGCATAATGAGCCTCAAAGAGAAATTGAGTTGGCCACAGGCAATTTTTCTATAATCTCCAAATATAGTAGATATTGGAAATAACATCTAAAAAATTTTGAGAGGATGTTGATTCATAAATTCCACATCAAGCCCCCTTATTGTTGTGAGAAGGACAAAAAAAGATACTGTAAACTATGCAATGACTTTGAAAATGTACAATTTATATATTCTTTTTGACAACTATTCTAGGTAACATAACTGAGAGGTTAACCAAAGTAGCATTCAAGAACATAAAACTCTAGTGAGCCTTAAAACCATTTAAACCAGAGTTATTCTCAATAATATTTATTAGTATGATTGAAGAGATAGAATGCAAAATATCATTTATTTTAACATTTCCTAACAGACAAAATGTTCAACACAAATATTTAAATACTTAATGTTTCCTAACAGACAACATGTTCAACATAATGATGATCATATTAATAATAATTTAAACTATGAAATTACATATAAAATTCCATATTAACTGCCAAAAGGTGGGGTTGGGGGGAAAAGGAATGAGAAAGCCAAAGTATGTTAATTTTGATATTTTACACAGTGGGCACTATGTGAATCAAAGAACTGACAGGAAACTGGTCACTCGTGCCCAAGGTGTAACTGAGGAGAGTTTAATGAAGATGTATTATAACCCTTGTGGGAGGTTATGTGGGACCAGCAAGAGATGGTGAAACGCTTGGGGATAGTATGAGCAGGCAGCTGTTACCCACTCCTAAGTCTTCAGAGGTAAGGGAAAGAAAAATAATTATGGAAGCACTTCCTGCCAGGAGCTTTAGCCTTCACGAGAAGCACACAGCTGAGCCAATCCATAGCCCTACAGGAAAGGCACCAGAGAAGTAGATAGGGTGGGCTCCTACACTTCCACCTCCTGCCACAGCCTCCCCCGGCTGAACCCAACTAAGACACAGAGGAAGAGGAAACCCACACATAAGGAAGTATTACTTTGAAATATACAAATATATTTTTTTCTTTGAATTTGTCTCCTGGCTGGCCATAGGGTAAGGAGAGGATACAAATGTCATGGCTGAGATGCAAGAAGAAAGAGTTGGCTGGCTGCAGGGGCTCATGCCTGTAATCCCAGCACTTTGGAAGCGAATTGCTTGAACTTAGGAGTTCAAGACCAGCCTAGGCAGCATGGCGAAACCCCATCTCTACCAAAAATAGAAAAAATTAGCAGGGCATGA